CACATTTTTACACAATCATTTTACTCCATTCATTCCAATTTAATTCATTAAAATAAATAAAAGAAAAAAATATAAATAGATTTTATTGGTTTTTTAAATAGTTTGAACAAACCTTTGCCTTGCTATTTTGTTAGTGTTTTTAATCGTTAGAATTTTATAATATCAACTCCTCAAGAGATTCAATCATGGTTGACCCTAAACTATATCAAAGTTAACTTTGTTAATTTGACCCTATATGATATCATTTAGAAAGCTTATTTTCACTTGTGAAATATTAGGAAAGGTTTTTCCTAAGGCCATGTTTGGTATGATAAAATTTAGAGACATGAAAATGCAATTGAAGATGGAATTCAAATTTTATCATGTTTGGTATGTCAAGTCTTAATTTCACGTGGAATTAAATTCTATAAAAATGATTACATTGGCTTCTACTGCTTGATCTATGAAATTTTTATAGAATTCCATAAAAGTGAGATTTATGACAATTTTGACCTCCTCCTCTTATCTTATCATTTGACAAATTATGGTCTATAAACTATGGTGATGGTGAACAAAGATCAATGAATGAAGGCAACATCCTTAGCAATAATGATAGGCTTAACGACAATGACAGCAATGACCTTAATGACGGTGATAGCCTTGGCCTCCATCTTGCTATCCGTGACCCTTTAGTTTCTTTGTCAAATAGGACAATGTGAATTATGAAGACCTCCTCTACAAAGCATCATGATTCTTGATAGCTAACTAGTGTTGACACTACCTCTAACCTCAATCTCCATCATACCAAATGAGACATAAGTGTTTGATAGCTTACAAGGTTTGTAAGTGGTTGTAAGGTGAAATCAAGACCTGTGAATTCTTGTGTCTATACTATGGTTGCAAGTACCTTTGAAGCTTGTGATTTTAGTGAAAACTCTTAAGTGTAATCTAAAATGCTAGGTATTGGCCAAGTGGTTTGACTGAACTAGTATAAATATCTTGTGTCAAGTTTCTTCTTCTCTAAACTTCATTTGTTTTAAAAGTTTATTATTCAAACTTTGTTTTGATATAAAAGGAAATTGGAATGTATATATACCTCTTGCTAAATTTTCTTATAATAATAGCCATTATTCTAATATCTAAATGGCACCATTTGAAGCATTTTATGGGAGGGACTGGAGATCCCCTTTGTGTTGGGATGAGGTTAGTGAGAGAAGCATGCTAGGGCTTAATTAGTTGATGAGACCACTAAGAAAATACAATTAATTAAGAAATGACTGCTTATAACCCAAAGTAGGAAGAAGAGCTATGCCAATAAGAGAAAAAAGCCTCTAGAATTTGATCTTGGTGATTAGATCTTCCTAAGTGTAGGATTTTATGCATTAGGAGCATTTTGGTCATAAAATTTGACTTTTGAGAAAAATGTTTGAGAAAATTTATCAAGATGAATTTTTAGTCAAGAAAAATAATGGTCTAATTAGATTTCTCAAACTCATTTTATATTGAGAGTAATTAATTTTACAAGTTGACTAGTTTGGAAAGTTAAAGTTTTGAATTAACTTGTTTTCTTGCACTTAGACTAGGTCATTTTTTGCATGTGTAGGCTTATAATTTTTAGGCTATATAGCATGCTCCTAACCTCTTTTATGATGTCAAAATTTTTTTTATTATTTAATTTGCATTGTGCCACAAATTCAGGAATTAATTTTAATTAAAAATATAAATTATTATCCATATGCTTTGAACTTTGACCTTATATATCACATTTATTTGCGTAAGGTTACACACCTTGAATTTAGTACATGAGAACTATTGGATTGGAATACTAGATGAGTCAAGAGGCAAAACACTTGAGTTTTAGGGTGAAAGTACAAGCCTTACGTGGTCTTACACATATTGTACCACATTTTGATTCCACTCACTTTCTCTCTTAATTTTCCACTATCTTTAGTTTTATTTAATTCAATTTTCAAACCATATTCATCTGAATTTTCATCTATTTTACCATGGTAAATAGTAAAGTTACCCTAACTCATTTTTTTCACCCATTTTCTTAACATTAAAGTCGGGCCCATTTACCTTAGACTTGAATCAAGCTACCCTAATTTTATTTTGAGCATTCATTCTTCCATTCACTCTCATTTTTTTAGCCTCCATCCTTCTCCATTCTCTCTCTATTGTTCTTCATGTTCTTTATCTCCATCTCATCTTCTCTCCTTCATATCTCATGATCCAACCATCAAAATTCAAATTTGAATCCACCATTCTTCTTCTTCCACCTTAGTCTTCAAACCTGAAGCTTTATTTTCTTAGTTTGGCTTCAAAATTCTCAAGGTGTTTATGAGTATGGTTCAACCGTGGTGGAAGGATTGTGTTAAAATGGGTTCTAAGATGACTAGAAGCTAAGTCTACAAGGAGTGCTAGGAAGAAAGGATGTTAAAGGAGTTTTGAAGTACCTCAAGAAAGGTTAAGGGTTATGGCCACTCTCCATTAAACCTAAGCTGATGTAATCTTATTTTTAAAATTAGGAGCATTGTTATATGTTGTTTTTATTTATCAAAATTAGTATTTAACTTGTTAGTTTAGTGTTTTTTTTACTTGATTTCCCTTTGTATAATTGCTAGAAATTTTTTCCAATACATTGTAATCCATATAAATATATGTTTTATGTGTGTTAAATATGTCTTACATTGGCTATACATAAATGTGATTGGTTGGTGTTTGATAAAATTTCTTGTGTTTAAAATTATGCATTAGACTTACCATAAGTCGAGCTGCACATAAAGGGAACCTAAGAAGAATTTTGATCACATTGCACTTAACTAAGGAATTGATTAGGGACTTGTACAAAATTGTACAATGACTTGGTTAATTGAATTGGTTAGGAAGGCACACTTATACAAAATTGTGTAAGGGGTTTAATTTGATCAAGGAAGTAGAAATTAACTTAAGCCTAATTAAAAAGAATAGACAAGGAATCTAACATCCCACAACTCTTAGGACTCCACTTTAGAAATGTTTAAAACACTCCAATTTTCATTTCACTAGTTAAATAAGTTTTTAATTAAATCTATCCACTTAGTTTAATTAGCTAAAATCAATCAACTCTTGGTTAGTTTAGCTCACCAGTTTAACCTTAATTAACCTTAGTTAGCCTCCTTAGTGAAAAATGACCTAGGTTGTCACTACTACTATATTAGTGTTAGCTAAGCTATTTTGAAGTGTAAACGACATATGCTCTTAACAACATAGCAAGATATAATGCCAATTGGGCCATCTCTTGAGTCTAGTTGACCTAAACTTCATCCTAGTCCACTTCTAAAGTTATCCAAAAATCTAACAATCTCACTAATGGTCCAAAAGCACAAATAGTTCAATAAATGCTCAAATTTATTATTTTACCCTTGTTAAAACTTTAAAATTTCAAATTTAAAATTTGAGAATGTTACATAGTTAATTTTATATCATCTATCCATTCACTCTTCAAGTTACATGATGTTAAAACTTTTCCCTTACCTCTTGTGTGAAGACTATTAGAACCTACCACTTGTTGGATGATTCTCTTATTCATGAGTTAGTGAATCCCCTTTTTGGTAATATTGAGAAAGAGGAGTAGCTTTCGTGCTAATATCGTCATCTTTTTGGTTAGTCATAAATAATCATTGTAATATAAGACATGTGACGATGAAACCATTGTGCAACATGTTTAAGAACACATTTTTCATTACATATGATACAAAATATGAATGTGCAACAAGTGATGATGAAACCATTGTACATGACATAATTTATGGAACTTTCCCAAACACTAAAATAAGCATCATTGTTATATTCAAAGAACTATCCAAAACACAAACCCAAAATTCACAGAGACCAAACTTGATACCCATTAAGATTTCATATCATAGATTCCTGATCAACAAAAGTTCCATAAATCTTCATTTACCCTCTATTGAACAAACAATAAATGTTCCCTAAATCTTCATGTACCTAGTGTTCATTTACCCTCTTTTCATATCTTAGAAGTAAGTCTAAATCCTCTCACTCAATAAATGTCTTAATCACAACCATTAGATTTCATCAACATTTGAAAATTGTAAGCATCTCATCCAACTGGGGCCAAGGAGATATTGATTACATGAAAAGAATATATGAAGTAGAAAATTAAGAATGTCTCCATTATACTCAAACATAATTTTCTCCCTAATCGTTCTTATTATTCAATTAAATGTATGCAGATTCTCTATTATTGCTAACAACATATTTTGTGTTTTAATATTTAATTTTCATTTAAAGAACTCAGTTATAAATTTATTTGTATGATATTTCTCATAAAGTAAAAATAATAATTTATCAAAGATTCATTATATATATATATATATATATAATTAAAGGCTATCTAGATTTTACATGGATAATTTACTTTGATGCAATTTCCTCTTGCGGCAAAGTAGCAAAGAGATTTGTTAATAAAGATTAATCCAATTAGTAAAAGACTTAACTCAAATCGCAAAATCATAGGTTCAAATCCTGTTACAAATACACTATTTTTATTGATAGGCGATCTGCATATATCTTTATTAGTATTTTTTGACATATATATATATATATATATATTCTAGTCTTTGTAGGCTCTCAAAACTCACCCCATCTAAACATTTTTTGATTAAAAAAAGTAAAATAAAAAGTAGCATAAAGGGATTCAATTTATTTTTAAAAAAAAATCAAAAGATTGAGTTTTCAATTAAACAAAGGAAGTTAGAGAGTGCAAGAAGTTCTTCTTCAATGAATGAATATCTTTGTTGGCCAAGGGAAAAAAAAAAGTGCAAGTGGTCGGGCAAAAAAAAAAAGATAAAAAAAAAAACTCTGAGTGAGAGAGAGAGAGAGTGGGAGAGAGGGTTTTGTTTTGGGGGGGTGGTGGGGAGTGGCTGTGGCCTATGGGTCGCTTTCAATGAGAAAAAAATATCTGCGACCTCCAAAAACGTTATCCAGAGCTAAGAAGGGCGGCGTAGTAGAAGCCAATGAAGTCTCAGTTTGCTGCTGAAACAATATCATTAAAAGCTTCTCACACTTACAGACACAACACAGATTAATTACTCACTTAAGGAGATCTTTCCAATTTCATCCCAATTTTTCTAATGAACTCCATTTTGAAATTACACTTCTCTTCTTCTACCCTGCTTCTTAGAAGCAACCATACCAATCTGCCATGTCCTTTCGCCACCAATAATAATCTTCCCACAAGAACTGTTCATCAGAGCCTTCGCTTTGCTTCACAAAGCCCAGTTATGAGGAAGGCTCTTCCACATTCCTCTGTTATAATTGCAGCCTCCACTTCTCCTCCCAAGCCCCTCGACATGTCAGTCTTCCTCCAAACCAGGTCTGTTTCCTTCACCCCCTTCATCTAAAGAATCTCTCATCCTGGTGCATCTAATTAATGCTAATTATATATATGGAAAATAGAGTTGTTGATCCCTGTTTTTTTTTTTTTTTAGTATTTTGGTATTGGTTTCTATATTTGTTTTCCTCCTTCAAACTAAGTCTCATCAATATGTAATGTTAGTCTTTATTGTTATTGTCAAAGTTAAATCCATTAATGTATATCGGTTAATTCTATTTTTGAGTTAACAATATTATAATGACTGGAACATTGTATGAGTAAAACGGCTGCTAATTTTTTTGCTTGTCTATTATAATTGTCATGTCTTCTTCCCTTTGAAATTTCATTCATTATGAATTAAAGGATTTTGCTACTTTTCTTTTTTTGGCTTAGTACTTATGTTTTATACAACTCAACATAATTTTAATAAGCCACATCAGAAGTAACAGTGTTTATATATGCGTTAACTATTATTAAGTCTTTATACTCATATTTAAAAATATAAGGCTAACATTGCAAACATATCAAATTTAAGGATTTGTAGCAACGGAAAAATAAAAAAAAAACACAGGGATTAATACCAAAATACATTAAAAGTATCGAAACCAACAATTGTATTTTTTTTCTTGTATGTATTTTTTTAAGAAAAAACTCGGAGATTCTCTAAAATGCTTATTAATTAATTAAGTGTATATTTTTATTTTCCATTGCAGTGCTCTGCTTCTCTGCCTATACTTCACAGCAAATTTCATAGTGCCAGAGCTCATCTCCAAGTATTTCGGATTTGACAAGGTAAAAGAAGATCAGAATGTTAACGATGTAAATGCAACCGAAGAGAGGTAGACTGGCATATGCTAAGTTCACTTCAAATGCAAATTCTTTTTTTTTTTTTAACTTGTGGTGTTTAGCTGTTTATGTACCAATGCAAGATTAAGATTGGTGTTATTATGAAAGTCTTTAGCATTATTTATCTATGGAAATTACCTTATGATTTTTTTCCTATTCAAAAGTAACACAAAAGGGAGTACGCTAGTTTTACACACACATTCCCCCCCCCCCCCCCTCTTATAGGACATCTTCTAGAGAAAAAAAAAAAAAAAAAAGTTTGTCCTTAATACAAAGCACAAGGAAGTTTAATTCATGAATTAATAGTCATCTCATGATTTCAATGAAGTAATCGAAAGCACTTTATAAAAAAGATCAGAAAAGTGCAAGTGTGTCTATAATTAGTGAATAAACAGAAGATATGCAAATATTTGTTGATTTTGTGGTCTTGTACACAAAAGATAAACTCATTAAAATATTACATTATACTCCTTATTACAAAACACTTTTTAGTTGTATTATAAGACGCTTAACTAGCTATGTAAAGCATTAATTATTTTGATATTCCTTTACTAACATTCGGCAGTACCGAAACAAAATGTCTCAACGTACATGACACTTTGTTGATTTGATCATGCATCTTGAATAAAAAAAATTCTTTTCGGTAATATTTTATTGCGAGACCCCTTACAAGTTACCGTAAACATGATCAATCTTTGGTGATTTGATCGTTTTTACTAAGAAAAACTAATTCAAAGATATTAAATTACATTGTACATTTACACTGCAGGAACTTTTAGAATATTCCTTTTATAAATCTCATAAAACCAAATCAACACCGCTAATTCAAACTTATAAAAGACAAGAGGCTAAAATCTTGAATTCCTTTTGTGATTAGACGAGTATTATACACTAAAAGAACTCAGCAATTGAGTTTCCCGAAAAAAAAAAAAACCAAAGAAAGAAAGAGAGAGAGAGAGAGAGAGAGAGAGAGAGAAGGGAAATTTACAGTTACCCGGTGGAAGAGGTAATTAAAAAAAAAATTAAAAGGAAAAGCATGTTGTTCTTGCTCATCCTCAATGAAATGAAGAAAGCTCAAGAGAGCTTTGCCGAAACGACTGTCTGATTACTCGCGGGACTGGGAGATTTCCCTGATGGGGAAATGTCTCTGAATTTTAAAGATTTCTTTGAAAATACAGATGACTTGCTGTCGAAGAAACTTGAAAAAGATTGCCGAATCGGGTTGTCTTCGGAGTCTATCATGTCTTCAGAGCCAGGTTTTTTCCAAGGTTTATCTTTGCCACTGAAGATAAAGCCTAGCCTCTTAAACCGACGCTTCAATTCGCCGGTAGTTTTAGCTGATTCTTCTGCTTGCTTCATCATCGTTAGCGCTTCCTCAGGATTTGTTAACATTGTTTCCACTGTTTGATATACCTAAATACCAGGAACATAACCATTAAATATTGATATACTTATAGCAACATGCCTTCAGAGATCAATTTTCAATCCCACGGGTTTACAGGTGGAGGTATTTTACAAAGAAAACTCTTACAATTTGATCAGACCAACAAAGTTACTCCTATATGCCAGACTATATATCATTAGTCTTGGCATAGATTAAAGAGAAAAGGCCCTTTTATTTACTGGAAATGATGTCCATGAAATGGAATAAAAAAAAAAAAGACAAATAAAATGATCATAATAGAGAGGAAAGATAAGTCAACCATATTTATGAAAGAAGAGGATAATTTAGTTCGTAAGATCTGAGGTTTGTGAAGGATGCAATAATTTTCAATGTTGTGATATTGAAATATTTAGTTTTATCACACTTCCCATAAAAGGAGGGTGATGTAGTTCATTTTTGTCTTCATTTTTTATTTCATCCCATTCTCATCCTTTCCAACAACCAAAGGAGACCAAAATTTCTGAAGTTCACTACGCCAGAAACAAATCGGCTATTTCACCAAGGCGTCAACTCGAAATAGTTTATCAGACCTTTCAGAGCATCTACATTGCATTGTGAACTAAGCCGTTATTCCACAAGCACTGACCTGGCATAGTTCATCAATTTTCTCACTCCAAGTGCTGCTTTGACAGGTGACAACTAGGTACTCCTTGCAGTCATAGAACAACTTTGAGAAATCACTGCTACCAGACAGCAAAGGCTCAGCGATTGCAAATCCTAAACCAAGCTGCGTAAACCAAGCAGAGAATATGGTTAACATAGTACATTAGTGATTCTATCGTCTGACATGAATTTTTATATTTTTGCATCCACATAACTGCAGTCTAGTCAACATGCTTGAAGAATGAAAAAAACAGGCTGAACTTCTATCACAAAGGTACACATGATCGCATAACCATAAACATTATGATATTCCTCTCAAGTGGTTCAAGACCTTGTGTCAAAATTCCTCACTTTACAATTTTTAGAAAACTATGGCCTTACTTTGCAACTGTATTTAACACTACCCGAAAATGGTCTAATGTCGGGGGTCATTTTTTCATCCTGTCACCTTTAATGACGTGAAATAGAGGCACCTCCTTTCCTTAATCCAAAAAGTTGGGATCTACAGTGATACTAGGAAGTTATTCAAGAGGTGCAAATGTTATTCTTTGCAAACAAATATACTGAAGGTTTCACATATAAAGTATTTATTTTGATTCCCTCATTAGAAGACATACTACAGTGCTAATTTATTTTGTAACTTCCAGCTATTATATGGAGTTTATCTCGAGAATCACTTCAATAAGTTTAACATGCAGGCATAAACTAAAATAACATGAAATATTCTTTTGATTTTGTATCTATTGTTGAGCTGTTAAAAGGTAAACCTGCACTTTGCAGGTATAGAAAATCTACAGGAAAACAGGAAATAGTGCTTGATGGAGACTTGTTTCATTGGCATGACAGTCTAACCACTCAGCCCTACTGTTAGATCTCACATTAAAAGAAAATGTTTAACCAACAAAAAATTGGTCTAATTAATAAGGATTGGACCTATAACCCACAAAGTCATGGGAACAAATCCTGTTACTAATGTAAGAACCTTATTGGTGAGCGATCTGTAAGTGCCTTTATAAATGTTAACTGAACCTAAAGGTATACCTTGGCCCTGATCAGTTCTTAGAACCCAACTCACCCAAATTTTTTACCAAAAAATAAAAAATTTGTGTAACTCTTAATTGGCTCCATCATGCCAAGCCTACCACATCTTCCAACCATCAGATATTTGCAAAAATAGGTGAATTAAATAAAAGAATAATTTACCCAACTATTTTGAATATTATAACTACTTTGAAAGATTGTTGATAATGGCTGGCAACTATTTTCTATCCCCATCATGGGAAACCAAAATAAAGAACTCACCAAAGAAACAAACAATTGTTTAAAAAGTTCGGAAGGCTGGATGTCCTCAAAAGCACGTAGGATGCCCTCCCTACAAACGAATGTAAACAGTATTCAAGTTAGATAGCTTCAACTATAAAAGCCAAACTAATACTTAGACTTACACTGCCAAATCCTCATCAAAAAGAGGTGTCTGTTTAACAGCTGGTACAGGTTTAGATGTTCCCCACAGTTCGCGCCACAAATTACCTGCCATGAACATGCAATGAAGTTTCCTGATATGACATGACATTATTTGAAATGATCCCAGAAGATCAATGAAGGGTTAAGAAATAGCGAAAAGAAAAATGAATGTCCAATCCACATGAAGTTAACAACGATACAAATTGTGACACATAAAACTCCAGAAGACAGGGCAAGAAATATACTATAGCTTTTGAATTTCATACATATATATATATATATATATATTAATATAAAACCTTCACTAAAGTGGAGAAACAGTAAGAGAAACAATTGAACCAGTTAAGAGATTGACTGGATAGATATCCTACCTTTAGAGTAACACAAGAAAAAGAGAACAGAGTTATGGAGAGAGTGGAGACACAACCCCTTCTCCAAGGAGATAGGCAGTGTTTATGGGATTGCTTGGCAAAGGCCTAGACACATGTTAGTTACATTATGCAATAGCCAACTGAATCTCACAAGAAAATAAATTAATAAATTTCTTATTCCATTCCATTGATAAGAGAAATATAAGATTCTTTCCATGTTCTCTTCAATTAGGAATTAAGATAAGGCCAAACAAGCTGAGTTTAAATCATAAAAGTGCCAAAATAATTCTGGCATAAACAGCGTGTAGTATGGTAATCTCAGCAGGCCTTTCTTGACAGCTGAGCAAATTACAACGTCTAGCAAGATCTACGTAAATCATATAAGCATTACTCACATCTTTTTCTCACTGCAGACAAGGTGCAAAGAAGTAATAGTTTAGGTCCAAGCAGAAACATTCACAATCTTATGTGATGGTGATTTTTCAACCACAAAAATTAGCAGCTGCAGAAATAAGCAAGAATAAATTATTAAAAAATATGGTACCGCACCTTCTTTTTGCATTCGCTGACTTAGCTGACCTCTGATGGACAATGACTCACCAGAGTCACCAACATCAGAAGAATCTTTAGCCTCAGTATTTTGTTCACATTCTGACCAATCAGGAGGAGAGTGCCATCTCACAAAATCTTCCAAAATACAACCAGGGTTGGCTGCCTAAATCATGCTAGTAAGTAAAAAGTAATCAGATAAAACAATAGACATGTTCAAATTGTCACGTGTATTTAGATTTTTGGTAAAGTTCACTTCAAGGGAAGGCTTGACCTTGAAAGCCTGCATATCTGATAGAAGTTGAGAGCACCCAGCACCAACACTGATCATATAAGATAAGAAAACTTATCAAGAAATACCCAAGTGACACAATTTTAAGTTATTATATTTTCAATGAAATAAAATGTAAACTATCCTTTATGGATCAATTATAGATGCCCGAGCCAATCTTAAAAGTTGCACATGTTGTAAGAAATAGATGCATGATTATCAATACATCACAACATAAAATTTTATACTACCAGTTGATCGCAAGAAGAATCGCGTTTGTTACAAAGCAAAAAGGGAATTGACATGCCAAGCACCAAGACTTCACCATTTTTATGCCACAAGAAAGGAAGACCCATTGTTAACGTGAGTTGGATGTGTGAGTGCGTGCGTGTATGTATAAACAAAAGTCATCTTAGAAATAAGACTTCAATGCAAAACATCATAAACTCCACTT